ACTTTTGAAATTTTTTCGAAATTCAGCAATTTGTGCCCAGGCAGTTCGATTGATCGAAAACTTTTTCGATCGATCAACACTTATTTCGACCGATCGAAAATGGTCTCAATCAATCGAAAATAATTTCGATCTATCGGAATTGCGTCGGAAATTTTTGTTCCCAGGGCATCATTCTACAAGCTTTTCGATCGATCATACCCCCCTTTAGATCAATCGAGCACTGTTCAAATATATATATATATATATATATATATATATATATATATATATATATATATATATTTGCATTCTTTATTTCCTTGCATCTTCATTTTTTGCATGTTTATTCGTTTTATTTTTGTGTGTGTTTACATACTTATAATGTCTAAATAAAAATAAAAAATTAAAAAAAAAAAGAGTTTTTATTTTTACTTTTTGTTTTTCATTTCTTGCATTGTACATATTCTTTCATTGTATTTTACCTTTTTTATTTTTCTTTTTGTATTTTGTTTATGCATTTTATTCTTTGATTTTCTTGCATTTTGTATATACTTGTTTTCATTAAAAGAAAAAAATAAAAAAATTCACCATTGTGCCCTTATGTGTAGTCATGCTACTTTCATATTTTCTATTGGGCTTGATCTCATATCTCTCTTTCATCTTGTGTTATATTGCCTTAGAATGCTTGATTTTCTTATCTTATCCCATTTGATATGAGTTTGCTAGTGTGGTTAATTAAGTAAGTCTTTGATTCCAAGTTTGGGGGTGCACTCTTTCCAATGGATCACTACTGGGCTTCATGTCTTTGCCACCACGGTATATTCTTTCCATCTTTTCCATTGTTCTTATTGTATATTAAGGACAATGTGCGGTTTAAGTTTGGAGGTAAGATGACTTTGTTGCATTCTACTTAAGTTTGAAACTTAATTGCATGATTGAGATTTGGGATCCATTTGAGCTATGATTTTGATCTTTTTGAGGACCATGATATTTAGAATTTAAAAATTGCTTGACTTGAGAGTCCAATACTCCTTATATACCTTGTGGATACCATTTAGGAGTAAATTTTTTGAAAGATTGATATCTTACTTGCATTTGTGGTCCACATCATCTTGATTTTGTGATTGTTTTGAGATTCACTTTAGAATTTTACACTAGTACAGGCGCACACTAGCATTCATTTGTGGGCTACATGATTTGTTGATTATTAATTTGGTTATATCCTAATTGAGCTAGTAATGCATTGAAAGTTTTAACAAACCCTTTTCATTAAGTAGCCGGAATTCTAGCCTCATCAAGCATTGAATTTCTCGCGCCGAAAGGTGGAGGGCCTAAACTTTAGGTTAATAATTGAAAAAAGAAAAGAAAATGAAAAAAAAGAAAAGAAAAAAGTTGTTGCAAAAGCAAATAAAAAAGTGAGGACTTCTCCCAAAAGGTGAGAAGTGGGAAATGATTATATGTAGGTTGTTTTGATTTGTAACCTAATTGATTTGAGCTTGTAAGTCCTCAGGAGTGTTTAAACACCTAATGCTCTAAAGCCGTCCGGTTTGGGAGTCCTTGACGTAACGCTCAATCTCATGGATCGCTAGAAAGCTTAATAGATCAACACATTGCACTATGCTTCCATCTTTGATCCTCTAGGATAAAAAATAAAAATAAAAAATAAAAAAAATAAAAGAATAAGTGCACCTAGTTGAATAAAGCTTTAATAAAAGGTCCACTCTTTGTTTTGATGATCGGTACTAGATTTGTGTGCTAGTTTGAGGCCGGATGTGATCATTTATTTAGTTGGATTAGATAGCAACATATTTGATACCGGCTCACTCAAAAAGGATTCTAGAGTTGTTTTAATTTGCATGATTATTATCTTGATGTGTGGAGGACCATACTTGTTTGCTTGATGTTGAGATTTTGGGAGATTGCTTGGAAAGGGTTAAAAAATTGCATAATTGAGGTAGTTCTTTCCCAATGCTTGTTTTGTATATTGGTGCCTCTCTTGTGAGAAAGAGCTCAATATTTGTGGGTATCATTTCTGAAAACCCTCACGAGACTTCACTCGTCCACTAGGAGTAACCTAGGGGTTTAAAAGGCTTGTTCCATATACTAAATGCAATAATGTTCCCTACGAAAGTGGCGCTATCATTTTATTGCTTTCTAGTTCATAGTTGTATAGATGTTTATTTCTTTCTTTCCTTGTAGTTCATTACTAGGGACTAGCAATATTCAAGTTTTGGGGTGTGATGAGTGCTCAAATGTGACTCATTTTAGCACTTAAGCGAGGGTATTTTAGTCCATTCATTTATCTTTATTTTCCCGTTTTAGTACTTGTTTGTGTTTTTGTCTATTTTAGGTCAATAAGGTTCAAACGGGTTAAAAATGGTCCATTACAGCCTTTTTGGAGTCGAGCAAAAGTTTGGAAAAGATTTCAAAAAAATCCAGAAAAATGTCAAAAATGCTGAATTTTTGGATGGATCGAAGATTTCTTCGATCGATCGAAGATGTGCTGGCAGCGAGCTGTTTTATTCTCGCGCGCCCGAACTCTACCTACCACATAGTTGCGGGATTAGATATTTTAAAGCTTATTTTCTGACTTGTTCGCTACTCCATGAACCTTTTATAAAGGGGGAATTGAACTATTTTGTAAAATATCTTTTTGTCTTCAATTTTATTTCATTGTAATTTTTATTTTCTCTCTCTAGAAAAGTTAGAAATTAGGGTTAGAAAAAAATAGAGGAGTGGAGGCTCCAAGAACACATCTCAAAATCTGCACACACACTTTCTCTAGAATTCAACAAAGAAGAAGAGGAAGAAGATGGAGCCATATTTGGGGATTGCCCTTGAGGGTTCCAAGTTCACACCCACCTCTTTCATGATTGGCTAGACTTTTCCTTGGGGCTTGGATGAGCCCCAAGTTTGTAATCTAAACCTCTATCTCTTTCATACTTTTTGGGGAATTTGTCTTATGATTAGTGCTATAGCTTTGTGAATAAAATGAATCTTGGTATATTTCTATGATTTATATGGTTTAATTATTCCTATTAAATTTCTAATTTATTTACATGTCTATGTGTGATTAAATTGGGAATTATGTCTTACATAATTCATATGGTTTAATTCTTCCTATTGATTCTCTTTTTGATTACATATTGTCTCATGTGTGATTATTTGAGAATTGATCTCTACACTAGTTTCTCTATATTGGTTGCATCTATGTGTAATTAATTAAGGATCTAGTGATGGTTATGCATAGTATTCATTGAACGGGTTTGTCAAACTCATGTAATGTGTAATATGTTGAAAGTTTTTTTCAGTTCGATATTGAAACAATGTGTTCTACAACTGTCAAAACAATATGCATCATTCATAGGTTTTACAATTTAGAATATATTTTATTAGTTTTTATAATAAACTAAGATAAACTTTTAACAATATATATATTAAAAGTTATATCAATTGTATACTAAAATTATACAATAATTAATTTTTACTTTATATTTAATAAAGTTATAAATAATGCATTGATGAAAACATCACTTAAAAATACTCTTTACCAAACATATTTTATGTTTTTGTTTTATTGATTTTGGTTACACTTTCATTCCACCAAACATGTTTTGTTCTCATATTTTTTTAAACGAAATACCTTACCAACAATGTTCACGTTTTTGTTCCAAAATTCTCACTGTAAATTTTCGTCACCAAATATGTTTTGTTCTCATTTTAGAACACTACATTATAAAATATTTGTTCTGTTTTAAATTAAAATAAACCACTACAAAACATAACACTTTCCGAACGAGACCTTAATTTTATGATCCTCGTCAATTTGTTTGAATGGGTATCTAATAGCCATACATAATACATGTGGATAAAATAATGAGGTTCTTTTTCATTTTCCGTTCTAGTCGTAATCGCATATTGACGCCAAGATCTGGGCTTCAACCAATGAACCTTTAACCACACAACAAAGGCGGGACCTGACATAGGAAGTGTGGTACAGATAAGTGCACACTCAAAAACATGTACGAAGAAAGAAATGATTATTTATTTATTAACACCAAAAGATAATACTAGTTGTGATTAAAATAAAAAGGTTACTGGATAATAATAGTTGTGATTAAAAGAAAAAGGAAATTGTCAACAACATTAGTCCAGTGATATTTTCGTAAAGTTGAAGATGGGGCTTCAAGTACTCTAGAGAGAAATGTGTGTGAACTTCAAGTACTTTCGAGAGATATGTGTGTGAGTGTTTTGTCGGGATCTAAAAATAATAATTAATAATTATAATTAAAAAAGAGAGTTTTTTGTCGGGATCTAAAAATGATAATTAATAATTATAATTAAAAAAGAGAATGAAAAAGAAAAAAAAATATTAAATCTCTCTTATTTACCTACTTATTTATGAAGGAAAGAAAAAAGGTGACTGTACATTCATATTGTGGGAAAAAAAAAAAATTAAGGGTAAATTTTTTACTATGTGAGTTTTTATTGATATTTTATATATTAATTTTATTTTTTCAAATTCATACTGGTGGGACCCCCCAAAAATTTCAAATTTCTACTTGTAGGACCCCTAAAAAAGTGTTATATTGCAAAGGAATCTAACTTGTTTCATTTAATATTTTTATCAAGGTAAAATGATGACCTAATTTTCACAAAATAGAAACAAAGTAATCAAATTATTATTAATTTTTAAAATTGAAACAATTATTGAATAAGATTACTGTTTTTTCTTTACTTTTTTTTAACCAGTAATTTATAGTTTCTTTTTTTCATATTAGTATTCATCGTTATTTATTTAAATTGTTGTTTTTTTTTCCAATATATAACTTTCCACTCCAAATTAAAATTTCTGACTCAGTCTACAGTGTTTTTTAAAAGATAATAAGAAAGTCTTTTGGCTCGAAAAAATAGTTAAGAAAAGTTTGTTGCAAAAAATTAATAGTTTAGGAATATATATATATATATAATTTGCATTATTATTATTATTATTTAGAAAGTGAAGAACCATCAGCAACTCCCCATTCTTAACCAAACAAGAAATAACAGTTCCTTTCCTTTCTTCTGCGTCAATAAATAAATACCCTTCTAAATTCCATTTCCACTGTTGATAAATTTGATTTGGGTGGACTGACAGACTTTATTGAACCCATGCAGCAGGCATCATCACTGTTTGGTACAAGGCCTCTCCCGGCTCCCAATCCCATCACCGGACTCACTGTAAAGTCTCTCTACACGCATCCCGATTCAATGGCGGCGACTTCTACTGCTCCCAAATGGGCCCAGAAGACTATCACTCTTCCTCCACAACGCCGAGGCTGTCATCTTATCACCCCCAAAGTACAAATCTCTCTCTCACTATTTCTTTGATTTTATTCTTCAATCTGTTTTTCCCTTGATAATTTACACTTTTGCTGTTATTTCCAATGTTCCCATGTATATGATTTTTGTTTCATCGATCTTTGTTTTCCATAAACCTAAAGCTACCCATTACCTAGTGTTGATAGCGAGTAGGATTGTTCCCAATTTTGGGAATTACTTCCATTTGATACATATGTTGATTTAGACTTCACAATACTTTAAGTCTGAGCCGGACAAGGTTGGTACCCTTGTGTTGTTACTACAAACTAGTTGTTGCAAAACCCTAATCATGTCAAACCCTAATCAAATTTCACTTATCTTGTCCAGATTCTCCTTACTCCTCAACTAAAAAGCATCCCAAATCCTTTTATTTGACGCCTTTATGATTATTATTATTATTTGGATAAGTTGTTTGACCACCTTTAAGATTTTGATATACTGATTCTTATAGTTTCTCAATTCTGCATACTTAAATTTATAATGGGGCATCTACCATTTTGCCCTTAGGGATAAACTTCTCGTTTTTTTAAAACATCCCTTCCGTATTTGTTTTCCTTTTGGTTTCCGTGACTCATGGGAGGTCACATTGGTGTCTTAGGGATGACGTACATCTTTAGAGACTTGGTTTCTGTTTTCGCTTCCGTATTTGGGATCCGTTATTGGGTCAAACTTCGTGTCATCATAGGACACATTGGCTTGAAAACCAGGGCCGTCACAAGAAACATTTTTTTCCTATCATTTCTTTATACCTAGTCGGTTATCCTTTCTTGTCTCTGAATTTAGTCAGTTTGCCCCTTGTTCAGTTCAACTATATAATATCTTTAAAAAGAAAATGATTACTAATTCTGTGTTTCATGATTGATTTTTGTATAGTAGAGAGGAATAGAGGATGGATTTCATGACCTTAACAAACATGATTCATGTCTGTTGGACCCTAAAACTTGTCCTAAGATATTATTTCAGTTGAGGTTCTCATTAGTTGCTGAAATTATTACAAATAGAAGAAGCATTGACAAATAGGCTAAAATGCTAAACAGAAGGGATACCAAGGAAAGGCATTTTTGTGCATAGTGTTTCTGATAGCTCCTCTTATGCACTGTTTCATATGCGTCTACAAGTGAAAACTGAAAAATGATTTGTGGAACTTTGTGGTGGTGGCCATGGCCTTCTCATACTCCCCTTGCTCTGACTTAACCTACTGAGTCATAGTAGACCGAGCCTGTTTATTTTATTTATTGTATTTCATTTTTAAACTACAATTACTGCTCTGAGAAGATGGCAGATTGATTTAGATACAAATAGAAAGTTTTCCAGACTATCAATTGGATACTGGTATTGCTAGTTTTTTTTCTCACTTTTGGAGGTGTTGTTTAGAAATCTTCAATTTGACTTATTAAATTTCTTTAATATTAAGCATGCCCACATTTCATTCCCCTCTGCAGTTAAACTTTAATGATTTTCTATTACATATACAATGTTGAAATGCACAATCGGTATGCTTTATACCAATGGAGATTAGGACAGTTACCCAAAATTCAAATATGTCAGAATTCGCTATGTCCTAAAATAAATCAAGAGTAGTGAATAGATCTTGTTTAATTTTTATCTTAACAATTACAGATTTTTAAATTCTGGCAATTTTATTTTAAACACAGCAATATAGTTTATTTAAGTATAGAGAACAAAAATAAAATATCAAGCCATCACACATAACCACACGTTTTTTTACGTGAAAACCCCAATGGGGAAAAAAACAATGGGACCCAGTCCAAGGTTGATACAAGCCAGGTTGATTCTAATCCTAAGAATCCCCTAGTTGATTCTAATCCTAAGAATCCCCTAATTGCCTTGATCCAAATTCACAACGAATCAATTCCTCAGACAATATGCTCTTCAATTTGCGCTTTGATCTCCATTACTAGTAACATCCGATAGTTGTTTGTTTGTGTGATTTAGTGTTGATGAAAATTTAGCCTCCATAATAACTCACCATCTAATGCTAGATGATAAAAAGAAAAGTACGCTCTGTATGAGCAATATGATCATATGATCTCGCTAGACGTTTATGTATCCCTTTATATTCTTCATATAACTTTGAGAGCCTATAAGTGTTTGACTCCAAAAGATTTAGGGTCTTAGAGTTGTAATCACAAAAAGAAACTGAATCCTGCACCGTTCCATTGATTGAGCCTAATTAGTGAGGTATGACTGGTCTTCAATCTATCAAACTCCCTTGTCCTAGTTCAGTTAGGATTTAAGTTTCTAAAGCAGTTGTATGCATTCTAAAACATACTTTAATGGATCAGAAATGTATGCAATATGCATGGAGTCCTAATATGATTAGTGATATGGATGAATAAAATAGAAAAATCTAGTTGGTGAGTTAGTAATTCAAGAGGTACACTTACCTTTCTCCCCTTTTGATTTTCAATTGCTTTTGCTCCATAATCCATTAATCTAATGCTAACTAACTAAACCAGCTTTTAAAAATAGATAAATATTACATACTTTGGCTTTTGTTTTGAAATTTACTAACTTCTAATATCCTCACATTCTCCCATCATGACAATATCAAAATAAACCAACAATACATAATATATAGTTATATAACTCTAAGGGTTTAAAAGCTGATTGTCTTCTTGAAATATCTAAGATCCTGTAAGACATTGACAAACAAGCATACCAGTGCGTCACATCAATGTAAAAATAGAGATAAGCCATAAATGAAGCGCAAGAAATTCAAATACAATTTGCAATCTCGCCCTTAAACATAAATCATATCATAATCTTTTTCTTATTTGTCTCTTTTGTCACACAATTGACAAATTGAGTGAAAAAAGATAATTTATATAGAAGAGTAAATTTATGTGCACATACCATCAATTGCATGTAAACCTTGCAAATAAACATAATTTGTAATTAAAAGACTAAGTTCTGATGACATATATTGACGATTTTGAGATGATAAACTTGAGTTCTTAGAGGTAATTAAGAGCAGAGATGAAAATTAAAGCCTTTCAAAAATATACATATATACCTTTATTTTATATTTACTGTTGGTAGCTTGGACTAATCCAACAGGTAGATCTGTCATTGGATCGGATTTTGATCTGATTCCGAGCCGACAATTTGGATATGGATTGGGATATTCAATCCTATAATCTGTTAGCAATTTGAATCCAATAATCCGTTAGTTAAACAAACTAGATATGGATTATGATTGATCTGGGTCGAAAATAATCCGATTCGATATAATATAATATATACTGTGCTATAAATATATTGTCTGATGCTATAATATATAATATTTACATATTATTAAATGTTTTTTATCATTATTTTCTTCTTCTTCTTCCCTCTATACTTTGTCTTTTTTATTTTATTTTTTTAATAAATAGTCAAATACCTAATTTTCTACCCTTTTTATTTTTGTTTATATTTTATTTTTTGTCTCCAGCTTCTCTCTTTCTCTCTCTCTCTCTCTCTTTCTTTTTCCTAATCATTGTTTGCTAATCTCTTTTGACGTTAATTTTTTTTAACAAAAATTACATCCTTTTCGGAATGGGTTGTCGGATCGGATATCCGATTAATAAAAAATCGGATATGAATTAAATTATAAAAAATCCATCGGTCTTATCGGATTCAGATTGGATGATCTAGTCCAAATCCGATCCGTTTACAGGCCTACCCATAGGTGCCCTTAACAAATTATAACATTCTTCATAAGTTACTTTTGCTATGCATAATCACTTTGATTCTCAAATTAGTTTCTTAATTATCAAGCTCACATCTCAGATATATGAGTATATATGTGAAAGTTAGTGTGAATTAAGTTGACTTTATCAAATATCATTAATAGAAAACATATAAACAAACTAATAATCATTATTCTTTTAACTAGACAAATCGTTCAATCAAATCTCTAGTAGATTATGTGTTCCATATGTTGATGTTAAAGGCACTGTGATTTTTCAATAATTATTTTGTAGAAATAAGGCATGAGTAAACTTATCAAAAAAGAAATAAGGCATGAGTAAAAGAAGTATATATAAATCAACTAAAATAAAATGATTTCAATTCTTAGGGCTTTATGAATTTTGATATCAAACCATCCTAAAACATATCTCCTTTTTCCGTCGAAAGAGTAAAATGTGTATCTTTAGATTTCTTAGGATATTTGTATTCTAAAGAATCTAGAGGAACTTTGACAAAATATTTATTTTTTCCCCTTTAGTCCACAATTTTTATTTTCAACTCAATTTTCTCTTGAGTTTGAGAATGCTCATCTTGACAAATTCTCATTTGTCTACTTTTTAGGGATTTAGAAAATTTCATGTTCAAAGTTAAAACCTTTGTGACAGATTATTCATTTTATGATTAACATTAGTATTCTTAAACTCGTATTTTTGTTTTGTTCTTACTTACCAAGTTTGTCATTTTGTGTAAAACATCTCATATTCATTGAAAACAGAAATTTTTTCATTTTTACAATATATAGAATAATAGATTATTGGATTCATAGGAGTATCAGAAACTTTAGGGATTCCTTTCACTTTTTTCAATCTCAATGATAGAAGTAGAGGGTTTAGATTTATCTAGAAGAAATCATAAACTACTCTTACCTTCTATAGATTTATTCATCCCTAACCATTTATATAATTATTTGGAGCTCACACTAAGCCATCAATTAGGAATCCAATTTGAGATATTCCTTAGTACATAACAGAAAGGAATTGGAATGTATTAATATCAATACAAACAGAAGAAAGTTCTCTATTGATTCAAACTTTCTATTTATGGGGTAGGATTTATAGTAATGAAGGAAATGGAAAACCGAAGATTTCACATAGTACTTTTGATTGAAAAATGAATCTGATTTATTTTGTACCCTTTGCTCAATGAGAAAATGGGTTAAATCCTTCCACAAGTAAAGTTCTCAATAGTCTCTTAGAAATTTCTAATTAAATTCAAGAGACTTTTTAAAATTTATTCCTTGATCAAGATTGGTTTCCAAAAACTTCCCTTCTGTTTCGAAAGAGATATTTTTCTCAGTTTTTTCTTCAACTAGATAGAGCATTTTCTTACTCAAATTTGAAATTATTTTGTTTAATTTCAATACATTTAATTGTCTCGGTTTCTAACTTGAAGATGTCACAATCACACTTAATGCTTTGAAGTTTTTCAACTACTTATTAGAGCATTTCCAACTTTTGTGTATATTTTTTTGTGTAAATTTGATGTGTCTTAATAGATTTACACAAAAATTTAGGATTATTTATTTTTAGTTCCAATGGTTGTTTTATACTTTTTGTGTAAAAATATATGCCCCAATAACAACCAATCAGTGTCATGCCTGGATCCCACATAATTTTTACAAACCTACTTAATATAGGGTTGATTCGTTAATGAAATGAGAAAGAGGAGGAGAAAGGAAATATGCTGATGTGGTTAGGTAAAAAGGTTATATAAAATACATAACAATTTTACACATTGGTGACGTGGCTATGTATCTTAACAGATTGTTGGAGATAAAAAAAATTTACACATTATACGTGGCAGTATATGTTTTACACAAAAGAGTATCTTAACAGCCTGCTGGAGATGCTCTTATTTTCTTAAATAGTTCAAATTCTAAGGCCATCTCGCCTTTTTTCAAATATCCTAAGTTTTGCCTTAACTTATTGATTTTTATTTTTCTTCTAAAGAAAATAACTATATAATTTTTGTATACTGCTTTCATCAAGTTCTGAATTACTTTCACATTCATTAATATATGGCAGTTAACTAGATTCTGAACTAACAGATTTATTGTCAAAGCGAACATGGAGATGTAACGATGCATATTTAGAACACATAGTTTTATCAACAAAAGCTGTGAGATTAAAAAGTTCTAAATTAGAATTTTCTATCCTTTTATAGTTGAATTTGCCTTTTCTTATCCCTTTGATTTTCAATTGCTTTCTTTCATAGTCCATGGATCTGAGGTAAATTCGAATCGTAACCAACTAAACCAACTTTTGAACAATAAAATAAAAATAAAAACTGGCTTTTGTTACGAAATATGCCAATACTAAATTCTAGCATCCTCGCAAGTGTTATAGGAAGAAATTAATGCAGATTATCCACTTTATGAAATTCATTATCGCAAACACACGCGCGTGCGCGCAGTGAGAGAGAAAGATTTATGATTATAATATTGGCTTTAACAATTTTGATTGTTAAAAGTCTCTGTTTTATTCTCTTTTTACTTTCTTTTATTAATATCTTTTGGATGATTTTGAAACTATGGAGAAATTTTTTTATATTAAATACTAAGTTAACAAAAGCAAACAATTAGATTATGTCATAACTCAGATTGGATAGAGTGTTCTCAGAGTGGCTCAACCATTACATGCAACTCTCTCCTTAAATCAAACTTCTTAGAGATCATCACTCTGGTGTTCTCCTTCATTATACCAATCTTCAATTTCTTCTTAATGTGAGCATAAAATGGCAATTTCATTGGGATACGAGGGTGGCTGTTGTTGACTTGATGTCCTTTAATTGGGATAAGTTTATCGGGTGGGATTTTGTCAAAACTATTACTCCATATTTTAGAACAACCCTCTGGAGTAGGTTTTTATCATCCAACATAATGAAGGTCATCATGCTGTGCAGATAATTTCTGAGTATTAAGGGTATATGCTGCTGTATCCAACATGATTTTCTTATTTTTTTTTTGCATTAAATGATTGTGTAATTCCACCTCAGATCGTAAAGGAAATTGGGCAAGACTTGTCAGGATTTAAGTGTGGCCTTGCTCATCTTTTTTGTAAGTGTTCTGCACCCTATTCACTTTACTAATTCTTCTTTGAATATTTGGGAAAGGTAACCTTCTGATCCTTTTCTTTTCTGAATATATATCAGTGCAACACACAAGTGCTTCTCTAACTATAAATGAGAATTATGATTCTGATGTCCGAGATGATACCGAGACATTCCTTAACAGGGTAGTTCCAGAGGTTAGTTTGTTTTCTTCTCTTCTCCTTCAAATGGTAGCATATATTTCTTGAGGTAAGGCTGCAATCGGGTATGCATGTTTTCAGGGAATGTCTGCACCATGGAAGCATACAATGGAAGGTTAGTTCATGTCTTGTTTCTTTGAAACATAGCAAGGATATGTTTTCTTGTTCTGTAAGCTTTTTGCATTTGCTTTGAAGTTTGAACCCAGTTTACCGTGCATATGGACTATATTCCTTGCACTTAACTAGGTTTCGTTGATGTTGTGATGCATAATGAAATGAACCGAACTAACTCTTATTGAGCTCTTATTAACATTAGCAGCTAGAGTCTCAGCCTAATAATAAGTTATTCTGCAAATTATGTTTCAAAGAATCTTGATTTGTGCAAACTGGTCTTTTATTGTGATTTGTGATGTTGGCTTCTTTCTCTTCATTTTTTTTTTTGGTGTCTTCAGTTTCCAAAGATATATTTTGTGGGCTATTTAATATTTGTGGGCTACTTAATATTGCAAATTATGTTGATAAAACTCTAGCAATGATCTCTTTAAGAACATGAATGAGGTTGTAGAGATCTTCTTGGCTCTCTTTAGCTTTCTATGAATGAGAATAAATGAGTTTGCTTTTCAATAATTTCTCCTTGGATTCCCCCGAAAAGGGTAGGAGTGCTCCAGGGGCGGAGCTGGGATTTCATTTTAGGGGGGGCGTAGTGTATTTGACAAAAAAACAAAAAAAAAACCCAACTAACATGACAAATTATTATTATTTTTTTCAAATCAAAAGGCAAACAAAAAAAAAACAAGTTTTACCTTAAATCAAAGGGTGAATCGGTGCAAAGGGTTAATTCTTTCAATCTCTCTTTCCGATTCTGTCCCTCGTGATTCAATCAGAGCATAAAGTTCAGAACCAAATTCGTGCGTAAGAGAGTGGAGACCTGGAGTTGCTTTCCAAAAAAAACAAAAATAGTTAGTGGGAGTTGTGAGTGGAGTTAATGTTTTCTTTTCCAAAAGCTGATGCAATTATATAAATATAAAATAGAAAGGACAGCGAAATTACATATCAAATGACTGAATCTTTTGATAGGTAAATGACTGAATCACCCCTCAATATATCATTGAATTTTTTTTTAGGGATGGCATATTTTTTTTTTTTATAAGTAATAATAAATTAAAAAAAGCGTTCAATAGGGGAACGCGTTCCGTAGATATAAGAGAAACCGGGAACTAAGGCCCCAAAGAATCCAAAAAAGAAATTAAATCATCAGAAGAGGAACAAGAACTCCTGTTCACATAACTGAAGAGAGAACGAATAATAAAAAGTTTCAGTGTCGCTGTAGACGACTCCTTTCCTTCAAACATTTTACTATTTCTCTTCCTCCAAATGCACAATCAAATACAATGTGGTGCAGATCTCCAATAGTCACGAACACTCCTACTCACACGACAACCTCTCCAAGCATGAATCAGCTCCTTAGTAGAATTTGGCATTACCCAATACATGCCAAATAGCCCAAGAATAAAATTCCAGCAGTCGTGCTCCACAGAACAATGCATTAGGAGATGATCGACTGACTCCCCATCCTGCTTACATATGCAACACCAATTAACAAAATAATTTCCCCTTTTCCTCAAATTATCGATCGTCAGAATCTTATCCCAAACGGCGGTCCATATAAAAAAAGCCACCCTAGTAGGAGCCATAGAGCGCCATATTTCCGTGGAAAAATTATAGGGTGCAAAATTAGACAAACATAAGAACAAAGACCTTACTTCAAAACGACCATGGGAAGAGGGAATCCAAATCAAGTTATCATAACCCCTGCCAATTCCTTCCTGCTGATACAATTGATCCAAGAAAATGCTCACCTCTTCTAACTCCCAATCCTGAAAAGAACGCCGAAAAAGAACATTCCACGTAATTCCACTATTATCAAGCTGATAACAGTTAGCTACGATGGCATGTTTATCAACTGCAATACTATATAATCTGGGAAAAGTACGACATAAAGGCTGATTCCCACACCAAAGATCTTCCCAAAAACGAACGCAACTACCATCATGAACTCTGAATCTAGCATGAGAAGAAAAGGCATTCCATCCTTTCCGAATGGATTTCCAAGCCCCAACTCATCCCGTAATAGAAACCGGACGTGTAGTCCATTCGCCAACATCATCCCCATACCTGCAGGAAACTAATCTGCGCCAAGGGCGGTGTCTTTCCTTCCCATATCTCCACAACCATTTGCCTTGAAGAGGTTGATTAAAAGGAATCAATCGTCTAATACCAAGACCCCCTAGTTTTATAGGCTTGCAAACTTGCTCTCATCTAACAAGGTGATACTTAAACTCTTCTCCCCTTCCTCCCCAAAGGAAATTCCTTTGAATTTGTTCAATTCTATCAGCAACGGAGCATGGAATTTGGAACATAGAAAGAAAATAAGTGGGAAGGCTTGATAAAGTGCTCTTGATAAGAGTAACTTTACCCCCCTTTGACAAATATTGCTTCTTCCAACCTGCCAACCTGTTTGCATACCTATTAATCACAGAATCCCAGCTCCCCACTAATCTGGAAGAAACCCCTAGGGGCAATCCCAAGTAAGGGATAGGAAAGGAACTCACCCTACACCCAAGAACTGCAGCTAGAGAAGAGATGTCCTGAACATTCCCAACCGGAACAAGCACAATCTTGGCCACGTTAACCTTTAGCCCGGAAACTGCCTGAAAGCAAGCCAGAATGCATCTCAAATATCTAAGTTGAGACATATCTACATCACAGAAAACCAGAGTGTCATCTGCAAATAATAGATGAGAAATCTCCACCTGACTTGCAATATCTCTTCCCACCCGAAATCTTTTGATGAGACCAAGATTCTTTGCTCGGCGCAGAAGTCTGCTTAATCCCTCCATAACAACAAGAAAAAGAAAAGATGACAATGGGTCACCTTGTCTTATACCCTGAGAGCATCCAAAAAAACCGGCTGGAGAACCATTCACAAGAACTGAGAACTTAACAGACGAAAGGCATGTCTTAATCCATGTCCTCCATCTACTTCCAAACTTCATTCTTTGAAGCAAATAGAGAAGGAAATTCCAATTTACATGATCATAAGCTTTCTCAATATTAAATTTACACAGAACTCCAGGAACACCATTACGCAACCTTGAATCCACACATTCACCGGCGATAAGAACTGAATCAAGAATTTGCCTTCCTCCAACAAAGGCATTTTGAGAATCTGAAATAATCCCATTCATAACTTCTCGCATTTTTTGAGCAAGCACCTTAGCTATGAGTTTGTAAATACAACCCACTAAGCTAATATGACGAAAATCCTTAATATCTGAAGTGTTTCCTTTCTTAGGGATGAGGGCAATAAATGATGCATTAAGCGATTTCTCAAATACACCTGTAGAATGAAACTCCTAAAAGGTACTCATCACTTCATTTCTCACAACCGCCCAACTTTCTAGCAAAAAACGCATAGTAAACCCGTCAGGCCCCGGGGCTTTATCCCCATTGCAACTGGATAAGGCCTTCAGAACTTCTTATTCAGTAAAAGGAAGCTCTAGCCCATCTCTCTCCATCTCAGAAATAGCCTTTAAAGGAAGACCATCAAGCTTGGGTCGCCAACCTAAAGGTTATGTATAAAGCTTCTGATAAAAAGAAACGATCCCGCTACGCACCTCTTCCTCCCTCCACAACTCCACGCTTTCTACCCGAATACGTTCTATGTGATTACTCCTTCTATGGGCATTAGCAAGTCTGTGGAAAATTTTTGTATTACGGTCTCCCTCTTTCAGCCAAAGAGCCCGGGATTTTTGTCGCCACGAAATCTCCTCCATACAAGCAATCTCAGCAAGAACTGCCTGACAGGAAGCTCTCCTAGTACAAAGAGACTCCACATTCCCACCTGCCTCTTCTAGCCGATCAATCTCAGAAAAATCAGCAAATACTCTGTTCTTCCTTCATTCAAGGTTCCCGAAAACATCCTTATTCCACTGCTTAAGAGCGAGTTTGAGAGCTCTTAATTTCTGTGTTAATATGAAGCTGGGCGCACCTGTAACGATCGCTCCCTCCCACCATGAACGAATTGTCCCTTGGAAGTCTTCTGCTCTTAGCCACATATTCTAAAAACGGAATGGGCTTTTCTGAGAACACAAACCCCCACAATCCAAAACTAAAGGAACATGATCAGAGGTAACCCTTTCTAATATCGCTTGAACAACATCCGGGAATTTTTCTTCCCACTCCCCAGAGATCAAAAATCTATCCAATCTTGAGAGAGTAATTGGGTCTCTACCATTAGGCCAAGTATAGGTTGTGCCTTCCATTGGTACATCAATGAGAAGGTGCTCATCAATGAAGTCAGAAAACTGATCCATGTCTATGAACCTTCTTCCCCCAGTAGACCTCTCTGACGGGAACCTGACTGAATTGAAATCCCCACGCAAACACCAATGTAAAGAGCACAAACCTTGAATGTGGCTTAGTTCCTCCCATAAAATGGGTTTCTCAGTATCAATGACCGGTCTATAGACCCCAAAAAAGACCCATCTGAAATTATCCTCTTCCATCTGAAACTCACAGGAAACTGAAAATCTCCCTTTCCACACATTCAGTCTGGACAACCATCTACTGTCCCACATAACTAAAATACCACCCGAAGAACCTATAGCATCCAAAGCCTCCCATTCCACAAACCTTCCTCCTCACAAACTTCTAACCACCCCGTTAGTAATGGATGCTATCTTGGTTTCTTGCAAACAAACAACCTGGCCCCCCATTTCCTTAAAGCTACCTTCACCACCCTCCTTCTATTCGGGTCATTGAGACCACGAACGTTCCCATGTAATGATTCGTAGGTTCATTAAAAACTAGTTGAGATTAATTCCCCTCCCCCCTTCTTTAAACTCCTGCTCCTAGTCCTGCCCCTTTCCATCACCACGCCTTTCTTCTTATCGTAGTTGACGTCAGAGATGAGATTCTTAATCTTGTGAATCCCTTTCCAAGATGATATGGGCTTCGTGTTTATAACTTCATTAGTGACTGCTATCTTAATTCTAGTCACAATTGCTTGAAGAAGAGATAAAGTCTGAGCGTTATTACTTTCTGAAGATACTC